GGGACCAAGGAGTAAAACACTGAGGAAGGACAACTCAAGCTATGCCTGAAAGCAGTGCCATAATCTACTGCCTTTGGCCTATTCTAGAGTCAGGGCTCCACCATCATTGGCTGCAGTGTTGTCCAAACAAGGGGGGAATCTGCTTCTGTGTGTTTCTTTGTCTCCGTGTAACCTGAAAAACCTGCACAGCATCTCACTAAGCCTAATCCATTTAGCGACACAATTTCCACCTCTGTTTCCTTTTGTGACTGTGACAAAAATAAAGACTTTGTGGTGACCGCGTTACGGCAGGTTCTTCACCCATTTGCTGCACAAAATTCATTGCTGCAGGTGAGATTTTTTTTCCCTCCAGAAGAAAAGTTGGAGAGTTTTTTTTAACCACCCCCTTCCTCAAAGAAGTCCATGTCAATGTTCTACGCCCCTCTTGCCATTTTAATAATGACATATTTTTAGCTTACATTGACCTTCTGGCCATGTGTATGAAGTATCTCTCAAGCATCCGTCCATTTGGTGTCTAGACTTGGGTCACATTTCTAAGAGATCTCACAATGAAGGTTTAAATATTACAAAATAGCCCAAAATTTGAAATTCCAAACACTTCTGGCACTAAGAATTTCGGAGAAGGGAGATCACTACTACTGACCTCTCCAAAAAAGTCAAAATTGACACTGAAATATGACACTGTTTGAGCTCTGCGAATGCAGCATTTTCCCGAATGAAGTAGAGAGTGTTTGAGGACTGGGATATCCCTAGGAATACCAAGGTGCTTGTTTATAAAGCTATTGTTCTCCAAACCCTGCTATATGCCTGTGAAATGTGGAATGTCTACAGATGTCATACGCAACTCCTGGAACAATTCCATTAGCGCTGCCTCCAAAAAATCCTGCAAATTTCTTGGGAAGACAGGCGGACAAATGTCAGCATGCTGGAAGAAGCAAAACCAAGTGCTGGTCTTGACCTATAAAGTCCTACACGGTTCTGGCCCAGCTTACTTGTCCGAATGTATTTCCCTCTACGTCCCACCTTGATCCCACCTTTGTCGCAAACGCTCTTGGTGGGGACGAGAGACAGGGCCTTCTTGGTGGTGGCCCCTGCCTGTGGAACTCCCCAGCGAAATTAGGTCAACGGCGTTCCTCCTTTCCTTCAGGAAAAAGCTGAAGATGTGGCTATGGGACCAGGCATTTGGATAGCAGGCTGACAATAAAATGGAGCCCCCGGTGGCGCAGTGGGTTAAACCCCTGTGCCGGCAGGACTGAAGACCGACAGGTCGCAGGTTCAAATCCGGGGAGAGGCGGATGAGCTCCCTCTATCAGCTCCAGGCCCTCATGCGGGGACATGAGAGAAGCCTCCCACAAGGATGATAAAACATCAAAAATCATCTGGGCGTCCCCCGGGCAACGTCCTTGCAGACGGCCAATTCTCTCACAACAGGACGCTCCTGACATGACAAAATAAATAAATAAATAAATAAATAAATAAAATGACGACAATGCTATGGAAAATGGACTATGGACAGGCTTCAGATTAAGTTGTTGATTGTAGAACTCGGACTTAGACATGGCCAACTAATTCAATTTGCACCATTTTCAATGGTTTTTAATCTAATTTTAATATTTTATGTATGTAACTGTTGTTTTATCTGTTTGTATATGGGCGGCATCAAATTGTTGTCTGCTGTAAGCCGCCCTGAGTCCCCCTTCGGGGGTAGAGAAGGGCGGGATACAAATATTCGAAATAAATATTAAATAATAAATAAGACCACCAGCATTGAAGTGATGCTCCTATGCCATCAACTCTGCTGGACTGGCCACGTTGTCCGAATGCCCGATCACCGTCTCCCAAAGCAGTTACTCTATTCTGAACTCAAGAATGGAAAACAGAATGTTGGTGGACAGAAAAAGACATTTAAAGATGGGCTTAAAGCCAACCTTAAAAACTGTGGCATAGACACTGAGAGCTGGGAAGCCCTGGCCCTTGAGCACTCCAACTGAAGGTCAGCTGTGACCAGCAGTGCTGCAGAATTCAAAGAGGCATGAATGGAGGGTGAAAGGGAGAAACATGCCAAGAGGAAGGCACATCAAGCCAGCCCTGACTGGAACCGCCTTCCGTCTGGAAACTGATGCCCTCACTGTGGGAGAACATGCGGATCAAGAATAGGGCTCCACAGCCACCTTCGGACCCACCGCCAAGACACCACATCTGGAAGACAATCATCCTCAAGCTATGAGGGATTGCCTCAGTAAATAAAGTACTAACCGGGTCACAGTCTGCCTCACTTGAAAGCATTCCGAGGTGGGTCAACGATGTCAGTTGGTTGGAGGAAAACCAACAAGGCTTCCGGTAGCACTTGAAAAACTGTCACATTTAATTGAACTTGAACTTTTGTGGACTCATGTCCCTGAGGAAGCGGGCTAAAGTCCATGCCAAATGAAACCAATTACAATGTCACAAGACTCGTTCTGATTTTTCATTCATTTGGATGCTCTCCAAAGCCAAGGTACTAGCCGTTGCTATTTTAAACTGTGGAAGTCTCCAAGGGCTTTTTTTCGTTCTCTGAAGGGAATTGGAAAACACTGGAAAGGGAAGGGCCAGAGCTCAGATAGCGTGCAGAAGGACCTGGGTTCAATCCCTGCCCTTTGAATCACAGGACCAACAAGTTGGAAGGGTTCCCAATTGAATCCAACCCTCTGCCATTGCAGTACTCCATCGATGAAGCAACCCCAAGAGGTGATCACCGAACCTGAGTTCACATATTGTCAATAAAAGAGGGTCCTTGATCTCTAAGAGGTTTGCTCCATTGTTGAACAACAATGATAATCTGCAGGTTCTCCCTTCTTGGGGTGGGAGCAACAGCCTAGTTATATATAGAGACCTGGAGATGGAAGAGGAGAATCTTGGAGATGGAGAGTCTTGGAGATGGAAGAGGAGAGTTTTGGAGATGGAAGCGAACCTAAGGACCACCTAACCCAGCCTTTGCCATGTAGGAAGAACACAGCAAAAGCACTCCTATGAGATAGCCATCTAACTTGGGTTTCAAGACCTCCAAAGAAGGAGAATCCACCAGCACCCAAGAAAGCTGGGAATCCACTGCTCAAGTGCTGCTGAAGTTCTTTCTAAGAGTCAGGTAGGATCTCATTTTTCCTAATTTGAAGCTATTGCTTTGTGTTCCACTATTTAGAGCAACCAAAGATAGTCCTCTGGATATTTAAAGGTGTTGCGGAACTCCTGTTGAGATCTCTCAGCCTTCTCCAAGCTAAGCCATCCTTAGATTGTGAGCCCAGAGGCAGAGACTAGTTTTTCTCGTTCTTGTAAAGCACCGTGTTTGGTGAACGCTGTATGAAAAAAAAAAATGAGGATGGTGGCGATAAACAGACTGATTCTTCTGTTCCTCACAGGACTTTGTTTCCAGCCCATCTTGCTCACCCTCCTCCTGTTTGTCAGTACCTTTCTTGAGCTGGAGACAATATCCCAGGTGAAGTTGGACCATAGCAGCATAATAATAATAATACACTGTATTTATATTCCGCTTTATCTCCCCAGAGGGACTCAGAGCAGATTACAGTTTTATATATATAAGGCAAATATTACATGCCTTCTTACACAGTGAACAATGACATACAATACACAGACAGAGATAGAGGTCTTCCCCTTTCCATCTCTTGTGCCTGGAGGCGATGACCAACTTTGGCCATGGGGAGTATTGTTGCTGGCATGTCTGCATGGGGTACCCCTTTTACCTCCCAGGCGAAGAGGTACCTATTGTTCTACTTGCATTGCATGCTTCCAAACTGCTAGGTAGGCAGAAGCTGACAGCCAGGAGCTCACCCTGACTCGTAGCTTCGAACTGCTAGCCCTCCGGTCAGCAGATTTCCTGCAGCTAGTGGTTTAACTGCTGCACTACCACGGCCCCTAGAATAGAGAGATACAAGGCTTTCCCTTGATCTAGATCAGTGGCGTCCAACCTTTGGTCCTCCAGGGGTTTTGGACTTCAGCTCCCAAAATTCCTGAGCATTGGACAAGCTGGGCAGAACTTTTGGGACTTGGAGGCCCTAAGGTTGGACACCACTGATGTAGATGCAATCAATTTAGTAATGTGGTCTGAAATTGCATTACCTTTTAGGGTCATTGTGGCACATTGTTGGACCCTGTTCCGTTTATTATCTACAGAACCCACCTTCAACTCTGTTGGACCAGCCACGTTGTCTGGATGCCCAACCACCATCTCCCAAAGCAGTTGCTCTACTCTGAACTCAAGAATGAATGAATGAATGAATGAATTGTTTATTGTACTAGCCATAGGCCATGACATCAGTAAAATACTAACTTTATAAACACTTTCCAATATAAACCTTAAAACGTAACAAGAAACTCAAGAATGGAAAACGGAATGTTGGAGGACAGGAAAAGAGATATAAAGATGGGCTCAAAACCAACCTTAAAAATTCTGACATAGACACTGAGAACTAGGAAGCCCTGGCCCTTGAGCACTCCAGCTGGAGGTCAGCTGTAACCAGCTGTGCTGTAGAATTTGAAGGAGCACTAATGTAAGGTGAAAGAGAGAAACATGCCAAGACGAAGGTGCGTCAAGCCAACCCCAACCGAGACCGCCTTCCACCTGGAAACCAATGCCCTCACTGCGGGAGAAGATGCAGATCAAGAATAGGGATCCACAGTCATCTACGGACCCACCAGTACACTGATCTTGGAAGACTATCCTACTTGGACAACCATGGCCAACATAGGTCCCTAAGGTTCTTTTCACACATATAGGCCTGAGAATGATCCCCTCTGAAACCATAGAGATTCCAGCAGCAATCTTGAGCCCAGTACCAGGCTCAGTTAAAAGGCTGCTCCCTGAAAAATGCATCACGAGTGGCTTGAGAGGATTTTTTGAAGGACACTCAGTGAGGCTAGTGACCCCATTGTATTGAAGCAAGAGAGATCAATTGGTGAGCCTTGAACTAGTTGGCTGCGGTCAACCCGGCCAGCTGAGAGGTGGGGTTCCAGGCTCTCAAAAGAAGGCTTTTGTCTCACTTTCAGGGCAGCTGCAAAAATGGCCAGCCCCCAACATAGCGGGCACAAAAGAGCCTTTCAGCAGGAAAGGACACAAAGTCCAGATGCCAGGCCATCATGCTTCAAAACTATCATGAAGCAGAATTCGTACACCTCCAATTGGGTGAGCTCTTCCACCTCTTCAATGCGACTTCCAGAAAGGTAAGCTCTGTGGGGCCTCGAGGAGTTTGTTTCAGGTTATTTTCCAGTTGTCTCCCCATCCTCCAGTGCCAAAATGTTCCCATTTCATTGGCTGGGGATGATGAGAGCTGTAGTCTGACACATCTGGTTAGTTACTTGACAAAGGGCCAGCCTTGATGATATAACTGGGTAGATCTGAGCTTGTTTTGCTCTCTTAACTCACCCCATCGGTGTTTTTACCATTTCTCAGATTCTTCTAAGCTGCCCTTATATAACAGAGATGTTATGATTAACAGCTAAATAAATTGTATTGATGTATACATGTACAATATAGACATTATTTAAAGCACCGGGATCTGGAGGAGGTGTTGCATCCCTTTGGGAGATGTTTCTGAAGTCAAAAGAAGTGATCCAAGGTTGCGGATATGTCTCAGCACCATGGAAAGCTCCTTCAAAATTTTGACCACAATTTGGCCCCTCTGGTATTTTGGGCTACAACTCCCAGAAGCCTCAGAAGGCTAAGCATTGGAGGAAGACTTGGAGAATAGCCTCAGAGGACTGGAGCTTTGGAGGGTGGCCATGGAGAACGATTTCAGAAGACTGGGCTTGTAGACATGGCTCTTAGATGATGCCTTGTCCATTCAGGCAGGGTTATGTAGGAACTGCTACTGGTTCTTATTGGTCATTCAGTGGTGAGGCTGAAGTCATACTCTTTGGTCGCAAGCTCTAGAGCAGAGGTGGTGCCAGCTGATGACCACATATAGATCTCGGGTGGTTAAAAAACAACAACACCCCTATCTTTTGCCCCAGATGCCCTCTAGGAGACATGAAGATGCACTGGGATCATTTTGGGAACCCTGGGGCATTTTCAGTTAGGCCTTTTGGAAAACAGGAACTGAAGAGGACACCAGGCACTTCTTGCTTTGAACAAAGATCTCTGAAAATGGCTCTAGGGACTTTTGGAAATGGCTCTGCTAGTTTTGAATAACTGGTGGGCAGGGGAACCCCTCCCTGTCCTTCCTCGAAGTTGTTTTGTCTTGCTTTCGAGGAAGCTGTCAGGATTTTTCCCCACTTGTCAGACCTCTCCGGATTATTCTAAGCCTGTATTTCCCAACACAACACTCCAGGGCATCATTAGGAGGCTCTGGTTTTCATTTCAACTCTCCCCGCCTTCTGCTTTTTGTAGCCTTTCATATTGGGTCTTTTAAATAGCTTTGCTTCCAATGGTTGTTGCAAAACCAGAAAAGAAAACCCAACAGCCCCCAAAGCAAAGAGAAATGGATTATTTCATTATCCACCATGCTGAAGGAATGTGATGAGGAGGGAAGTGCCGGAGGAGCATTGAGAGCCTGCCTCTTGTATGGACACACTTTTCAAGGCAGCACTCTCGCCTTGATTTTCCTCCCCGAGGCCTAGATATTCAGGGTCACGACCTCAGCTCTGGAAACCTTAGCTAAAGAAGGTGAAAAGCAGTGCCTTGAATGGGCTGGGCAATTGTCCAAAGTGGGAGGTGGCTGCATGGGTCTCCCAGACGACACTGAAGGCCCTCCCTTCTGCTATCAAAGTATCTGGACAAAATTGATGGGGTTTCCTACGACTGAGAACAATACATCTTTTTGAACTAACCTATTCGTGAAATGAGGGTTGAACTTATCTTAAATGAATATTTTAGATCCATTAGCTGAACAAAAGACCCACTCCTGATGGATATGAATGCAGCTAGATCTGGATCAAGATGACTGCCTGCTGTCTTAAAATGCTTCTTGGGTCAATGAGTGGAGGGACCGGAAAGGTGCTCCAAGGGTGCATCAACACTGTTGAATGAATGCCATTTGATGCCACTTGAATCGTCATGGCTTAAAGCAATAGCATCCTGGGAGTTGTAGTTTGACAAGGTCTTGATCCTCCTTTGCCAAAGAGTGCTGGTGCATTAGAATCAAAACATTATAGAATAACAGAGTTGGAAGAGACCGCACGGGCCATCTAGTCCAACCCCCTGCCATGCAGGAAAAGCACAATCAAAGTACTCCGGACAGATGGCCATCCAGCCTTGGCAATCTACAACTCCCAGGATGTCACAGCAGTGAGTCATGGCAGTTCAAGTGCCATCCAGCTGCATTCATTCCAAAAAATGCTCTGAGAATCGATGGTTATAGCAAGTATGCCCGAGAGGGAAGTTCTATTAAGCAACTAGATCTTTCCAGGTTGAGTTTCAAGCTAATGGCGTTCACAGCTCAATCCTAAACACATTTGCTTTGAATTGCAGTGCAGTGAACACTGGAGGGACAGACAAGTCCCTTTCCATTCCTAAGGCCATTGATTCCTTTTGGACTTATCACCAAAGCTCATAATTTTGCTTCCTGCCCCAAATGCCTAATGGAGATGGTGACTTGAATATTCTGTTTTTCAGGCATGCTTCCAAGGCTGGCTAGGTCTTATAAAGCCCCACAGATGAAAAGTGGGACAAGTGTGTGTCCAGACCATATCAGCATATGGTCAAGGTGGTAAGAATTATTCATGAAGAACACCACTCAAGCTGGGAGGGGCTGCAGAGGTTTGCTTTTTATTTTATTATTTATTTAAAACATTTATATTCTGCCCTTCTTACCCCGAAGGGGATTCAGGGCAGAGCACAACATAAATATGGCAAACATTCAGTGCCAGAATAAAAGCAAACTATAAATATACACAAACATTAAAATCAGTTGTATCCACTTTTAAATCAAATTGTTAAAAATCATCTCAAACCAGCCATACCAAATTATTACCTTGTTGTACTGTCCCAAAGGCTTGGTCCCACAGCCAGGTTTTACCAACTTTCTGAAGGACAGGAGGGAGGGGGCTGATCTAATCTTGCCAGGGAGGGAGTTCCATAGCCGAGGGGCAATCACTGAGAAGGCCCTCTCCAAATACACCTGTGATGGTGGTGGGACCGAGAGCAGGGCCTCCCCGTAAGATCTTAGTCTCCATAGTGGTTCATAGAGGGAGATGCGTTTGGACAGGTAAACTGGGCTGGGGTCTTTTAGGGCTTTATAGGCCAAAGCCAGCACTTTGAATTGTGTTCAGTAGCAAACTGGCAGCCAGTGGAGCAGGTGCAACATGGGAGTTGTGTGTTCCCTGTATTCAACCTCAGTTATTAACCTGACTGCCTCTCATTGGACTATTTCAGGCTTCTGAACAGTCTTCAAAGGCAACCCCATGTAGAGTGCTTTGCAGTAGTCTATCCTGATTGTAATGAGAGTGTGGACTACCGTGGCCAAGTCTGACTTCCCAAGGTATGGGTGCAACTGGCACACAAGTTTTAATAGTGCGAAAGCCCCCCAGCCACTATCACAACCTGAAGACTCACAAGCTGCGAACCTGCACCTTCAAGGGGAGTGTAACCCCATCTATCACAGGCTGGAACCCTATACTCTGTTCAGCCTTGCAACTGACCAGGAAAGGCCTGAGCCTACCAGAAAGGCTCAAATTCCATCCCTATCTCTCTCCCTACTCATTTTGCCGTAATTGAGGTAAGCTGAAGGTGAAGGTAGGAGGAGGCGTCAGACGCTGGGACATTTTGAAAACAACTTAAAAAGTGGAAATAGTGATTGAATAGCTTGGAGACTCTGCAGCAGTTTGCTTTTGCCTGAGCCAACAAGGACAGGCAACTTCTGAGATGACTAAGCAGCCAGCTTGTATAGAGGAAGACTTTCATAGAATCATAGAGGTGCAAGAGACCTCGTGGGCCATCCAGGCCAACCCCCTGCCAAGAAGCAGGACAATCGCATTCAAAGCACTGATTTTGCAGGGTATTTAATGCTTCTAGAAGCCACAATAACACACACGCCAAAAAAACCCCAGCACTTAACATGTTCCAAATGATAATGTTTATGCAGTCCTTTAGGTCTCATGGAAAGAACTCAGTGCTGCCTGGATATGATCCCCCCCTCTGCCAAAAAAAAAAAAAAAATGGAATGGCTGGGCCAGGCCTTGAGAACTGGAACTCCCCACATCAAGTGGGATCAAAGTTCAGTAGTATAATTCTAGGATGGGGAAGGCCAAGGAACTGGAAAGAAGGGGCTTCTTCACTCTACACAATGACAACACAGTTCATTGTAAGTACATTGGCCACACTTTGAGGGAGATTTGTAGTTTGGTGAGACACTGCAAGCTGAGCAGTCACAATACTCTTCCTTAAACTGTAAATACCAGTTGCCGTCATAGCAAATGTGGTGGGATTATAGCTCGACAACTGTCTAGTGTGAAAAGGACCCCAATCCAGGTTTGAGACTTTCGAAAACAAGCAGTTGTTTGGGAAAGATCTCTGGCATTTCAGCTTTGGTGGATTTTGAGCACTGGAGTTCCAGAGAGGGACTTGTTTGAGTGCCGACTTATGGTTGGTTGGGGGGCAGTGAGGGTGCCAGGTTGGTGGGATGTGTCTGTGTGGAAGGGGGAGCCAAATTACCCCCTTGCCTGGTTGTTCTGCTCATTCTGCTTGCTTTTGTTTCAGTGGCCTCTTCTCAGGAGAGAAGGAGTTAAAGACTCAATCCCGGTCTCCTTGTGATGAATATTTAACAGCAGCCAGCGCACGGTCTGGAGCTTTGGATTCTCCTCCGCTTGTCTTGACAGCAGTGGCTGGCTTGAAAAGCCTCCTCTGGTCAGAGGAAGGAGGAGGAGGAGGAGGAGGAGGAAGCAGCGGGCGATGGGGCATCTCTGCCTCCCAATGTAGGCAGGGGCAAACCCTCCTTGGTGGATCTTCAGAGAAATCTGGGGTGTGCTGAACTGTCCCTGATCCATCCGGTGACCATGAGGATCCCGCTTCTTCTTGGGATAACTTTTGCCTCCTTGCCGTTGGTCCTCCAAGCAGGTGAGTGGGTCCATGGAGTCACTGGGATTTGTGGCTTGAACGTCAGGGATGTGGGGAGCATAAGGACCCTTTCCATTTCTTTGGAGAGAGGAGGGCTGTTTGTGGGACTAACCCATCTAGGTAGCAGAATCTAGATTGTCTCGTGCCACCATACACCTGTGGGTCCCTGGCCCACTCATTGGTCCTTCGCTAACTCATTGCCAGGTTCTTGGCATATCTTGCCGCAGGCTGCATTGGGGTCGTCCATTTGCCCCCCAGGTTTGGGTACTGCATGCAACATCTTCCCAGCGTTCCTCTCGTCCAGGACATACTCCCATTGCAAAGAAGTGGCTGTCCTTGTTGTCCTTGGCCACAGGGGTGTCAAATCTGATTAAGTACCATGCTTTGGCGGGCACTGCAAGGAACAGCTTGGTTGCCAGAAGTTTCCTGCAAGGAAAAGTCTCCTCTTGTCGGTGCCTCTGGATGGTTTTTTCAATGGAGTCTTCAACAGCGAAGGCTGGGAGATGCCAATGAGAATGCCATCTGTGGAAAGGCTTGGGTTCAAGAGTGCCAAGGTAGGACTTCTGTGCTCAAGGGACAATGTTCAGCCTGCCGTGAAAACTCTTTGCAAATGCTTTTTCAAAAGGCTGTCTGAAGTTTGTGGCTCACTCTGTGACAAATCCGCAAGGGGGATTTGTGTGCAGAAAAGAGCCTTGTTCTGTGCAGAAGACAGGATGGTCTGGGCCATTCATGGCACAGGAAACAATATTGATTGTCCAGGGTTACTATTTTCTGTGCTGAAAACCGTGTGCCAAAATCTCCAACTGAGAAGACTCTTTTGTAGATCAGGGCTTCTTCTATGCAAATTGTGTACAAAAAACCCATGTTTTTTGCAACAAAAGTATAGATGTGTTGTTGAAGGCTTTCATGGCCAAAAACACTGGGTTGCTGTGAGTTTTTGGGGTTTCTGGCCATGTTCCAGAAGCATTCTCTCCTGACGTTTTGCCCACATCTGTTTCAGGCATCCTCAGAGGTTGTGAGGTCTGTTGGAAACTAGGCAAGTGGGGTTTGTATATCTGTGGAATAATGTCCAGAGTGGGAGAAATAACTCTTGTCTGCTTGAGGCAGGTGTGAATGGTGCAAATGGCCACTTTGATTAGCATGTGATGCCCTTGCAGCTTCAAAGCCTAGCTGCTTCCTGCCTGGGGAATCCTTGGTTGGGAGGTGTTAGCTGGCCCTGATTGTTTCCTGTCTTGAATTCCCCTGTTTTTTGAGTGTTGCTCTTTATTTACTGTCCTATTTTTCATGTCAGGAGTGACTTGAAAAAACTGCAAGTCGCTTCTGGTGTGAGAGACTTGACTGTTTGCAAGGACGATGCCCAGGGGATGCCCGAATGTTTTACCATCCTGTGGAAAGCTTCTCTCATTTATTTATTTTATTTATTTTGCATATTTGCATCCTGTTCTTCTCACCCCTGGGGGAGGGGACTCAGGGCGGCTTCACAACAGTCATTCATTCGATGCTGACAACAAATAATAATTACAATTAAAACATGTAATTCTCTCATGTCCTCACATGGGAAGCTGGAGCTGACAGACGGGAGCTTACCCCGCTCCCCAGATTCGAACTGACAACCTTTCGGTCAGCAGTCCTACCTGCACAGAGTTTAACCCATTGCGTCACTGGGGGCTCCATTTACTGTCCCAATTCTAGAGTTTTTGTAATGCTCGTAATCAGATTTTGTTCATTTTCATTGTTTCCTTCTTTCTGTTGAAATTGTCCACATGCTTGTGGATTTCAATGTTGGGCCAGCTAACACCTCCCAACAAAGATTTTTCACATGCAGGCTTTGAAGCTGCAAGGCCATTCAATGCTAATCAAGGTGGCCAATTGAAACATTCACACTTGCCTCCATCAGACAAGAGTTCTTTCTCCCACCCTGGACATTATTCCACAGGGATATATATACACTCCACTTGCCTAGTTTCCAACAGACCTCACAGCAGAAAGTCAATTTTCCCCCTCCTCCTCCTCCTCAATGGGACACCCTTTCAAATCTTGAAACATGGTTCTCATATTCCCTCTCTCCAATAACAATAACAATAACAGTAATAATAACAGTAATAATAATAATAACAACACTTTTTAAAATAACAACACTTTTTTGTCCCCTGAGGGGACTCTACCATCTCTCCTCCCAGCTAAACATCCCCCAGGAGGAAAGGGGGAAGGAAAAAGAGAAGGAAGAGAAAGGATGGAAGAAAGGAAGGGTGGAAGGAAATAGGGGGAGAGAGGGGGAGGAGGGAGGAACTAGAGAAGGAATGAAAGACAAAAAGGGAAGGAAGGAAGGAAGGAAGGAAGGAAGGAAGGAAGGAAGGAGAAAGAGGGAAAGAGGGAAGGAGGGAGGAAAGAGAGAAGGAAGGATGGAAGGATGAAAGGGTGGAAGGGAAGGATGGATGGATGGATGGAAGGAAGGAAGGAAGGAAGGATGAAAGGGTGGAAGGGAATGGAGAGAGGGAGAAAGAAGGAGGGGGAAGAGAGGGAGGGAAGGAAGAAAGAAGGAAGGAAAGACAAAAGGGAAGGAAGGAGAAAGAGGGATAGAGGGAAGGTGGGAGTAAAGAAGGAAGGAAGGAAGGAAGGAAGGAAGGAAGGAAGGAAGGAAGGAAGGAAGGAAGAATGAGAGGGTGGAAGGGAAGTAAGGATGGAGGGAGGGAGAAAGAGAGAGGTAAGGAAGGAAGGGAGGGAGATAAGGAGGAAGGAAAGAGAGAAGCAAGAAAAGACAAAAGGGAAGGAAGGACAAAAGAGTGGAAGGGAAGGATGGAAGGAAGAAGGAAGGATAGGAGGAAGGAAGGAGAGAAGGATAGAGGGAGGAAGAAAGGGAAGGAGGGAGGAAAGAGGGAAGGAAAGACAAAAAGGAAGGAAGGAGAAAAAGGGAGAGAGGGAAGGAGATAGGAAAGAAGGAAGGACGAAAGAGTGGAAGGGAAAGAAGGATGGAAAGAGAAAGAGGGAAGGAGGAAGGAAAGAGAGAAGGAAGGAAGGATAAGATGGAGAGAGAGAGGAGGGCCTGAGAAAAGAGCCCAAGGGGCTGTATCCCGCCCCCGCCTGGTTTTGCCCATTCCTGGGCTTTATAGGAAGAAGTCATAGTCCCATTTTTCTGCTTTGGTGAGACTTCCTTTCCTGGAATAGACCAGTGTCAAGTTCTGAGCAACAAAAGTCAATATTGAGATGAACAAGGTCAAAGGTGTCCAGAAAATGGAGACCAAAATGACCAAATATTTGGAAACCAAGCCTTACGAGGAGTGGTTGAGGGAGCTGGGTATTGTTCAGCTTCGAGATGAGAAGGCTGAGAGGGGCATGACAGCCATGTTTAAATATTAGGAAGAAAGTCACTTTGAGGAAGGGGCCATCTTGTTTTCCGTTGCATCCGCCAGTGCCAGCTTTGCGCCTCTGATGGGTAATGTAGAACTTGCCTTCCCTGTAGCATGAGATGATGAATTTGGATGATCGCACAGTGACTCATAACTGCATAGTTAGCTGAGTGGGCATGGCTATTATGTCTTTTTGTGACGATGGCAGTGAAGTTGAGAATGCTCCCTGGCGATGGTATTGTGGAGTGCAAAGTACAGCTGTTCGTCATTGACAGCCCTCATTGCCACATCCCAAAGGAGGGATGCCAAACGTAGGAGGCTGAGTTGTAATCTATCACCACCAAGAACAGGTCTTTTATAAATTTAATGGGTCTTAACTGCTCATTCAAGACTAAGCTGCTTACGGCACCCCTATGGCCAACTTATCATGAAGTTCTAATCTGAGGGGGTTTGCCTTTTCTTTCTGCTGAGGTTGAGAGAGTGTGACTTGGCTAAACTCACTGAGTGGGCTATTATGCTGGGCAGGAATTTGAACCCTGGTCTGCAGAGTTGTGGTCCAAAATTAAATACCCTAAAAGTGCCAGATGTGGTCTGATCATAGGATTTAAGCAGGGTCAGAGCGTCAGCCATTGCTAATAATATACTTTATTTATATCCCGCTGTATCTCCCCGATGGGGATTCAGGGTGGTTAGTACTTGGATGGGAGATTACCGACAAATACTGGGAGCTGTAGGCTCTATTTCAGAGGAAGGAATGGGCAAAACCAACTCTGTTCATTCCTTGCTTGAGAAAACCTGATGAAATCCATGGTTTTACCAATGAAAGAGAAAGGGAAGTTGGCGCATGAACTGTGTGGTATTCCTCCTCCACCGCCACCATTTGGTGGCACCATTTAAAGAGCATATTGAAATGATGCCACACATTCCCCAGTCCCCCAGTCATCTTTGAAACAGAATTGGAACACGGCACAGTTTTTCCTTGGCTCTTTGCAGGCATTGCCCTTTTAGCAATTTGAGTGGTCTTTTGATGCGTGAGCCTTGGTTCCGGCCTCAGCAAGTGCTCAGCCTGGCAAGGAATCGATTTGCGCCCTTATCAGAGGTCCAAAGTTGGCAACTGCCCGGGGATGGAGGGGTGGATGGAATGACGTTCAAGTGCAAGGCGTCTCCTGCGGAGCGCCGTTCGATGTAGGCCTCGGCAAGAAAGCCCTTCCAACTGGATAGTGTGCCTTTTTGCTGCCAGCCTGGATGTTTGTTTGTTTGTTTGTTTTTAACGTCGAGGGCTGTTATTTAAAGCAAGCAAATGGGCAGAAGGCCAGCCATCGGCCGCTGTTGCTGCTGGAGCCTGTCCAGTATAATCCCGCGGCTTCCCATGGGTTCCTTCTGTAAAGGGCTGGAAGGCTTTTTAGAAGACCCAAAGTGCCCGAAAGGTTAGCTCATGTTAATGCCGTGTGCCATTAAGTGGTAGCGGAGAGACCAGAGAGCAGCATTTAGAGCTGCGGTCAATGGGGCACTGAGTTGGTGATATGGAAGTACGTGCCAATGCTTCCGTTGTGTCGGCCCAGAAAGGTTGAATGCCACGGAGGGATTTTTCTTTATTGCATCATGCTGTTTCACGATGATCCAGTGGGAGTTCCAACCATGGCACCATGTAAG